TGCCAGTGCTCATGTGTCATGTCACCGTGTGGGTCAGGACTCCCGGGGCACACATGAGCGGCCTGTTGCACAGGTGGCTCTCAGCAGCAGCCGGAGGGCCCAGGGCCAGCTGCGGGCTGGATGTCCAGGGGCTTCAGCCAGGACCACGCCGGGGAAGCGGCCACGCCTGCTGCCACTGTGCCAGGACCATGCTGTTTCCCATGACACCGCGCTAGTGAAAGGCCTGTGCCCACCCTGCGCCTCCGCACAGCCCGCACCAAGGCAGGGGCCGGGGTGCTGCAGTCAAAGGGCAGAACCTAGGTCCCACCCTGCCCCCAGCTCAGGGAAGGTGGGGGGCTGGAGGAGTTGTTTGTTATCTGTTGTTTTTATCCATCAAGGGAAGCTCGGACCCAAACCAGGAGTCTCCTACAGTGTAGGGTCGGGAGCTGCCTGAAGACACTGGGCAGCCTCGACGGCAGGGTCTGCTCTGATAATTAACATCCTGTGAAAACAGCAGCCGGCAAGACGGTGTAACTGGTGCTGGTATCAAAAAACTGAGTACAAAATGATGGGAAAGAAATGCACAAAGCGATGGTTGGCTGATGATCTCTGTGGTGGTTTGTGGGTTATGTTTTGTTTCCAGGCTTTTTTATGACAAAGCTATATATTTCCTTGTAAGTTAGAAAAAAATGAGAGTTTACTGCTTTAAGGACTCGTTAAAATAATTGCTCCCCTGCTAGATGGATGAAAACTCTACCCTATAAGTCCTGAGCAGATTTAATAATCTGTTAAACAAGTGAATACTGAATTGTTTTTAAGTGAAAAAATTACTGTCTTGTGAAGCTGAGATTAAAGTCTGCCTCCTGTGGCTTTGCCCTCAGTGGGTGCAGTAGCTGCTGACCCAGTTAGAGTCGTCGCAGCTTAAATCAGGAGGGTCTCAGACATCATTTACCCTAACTTCAGAGCATTCGTCTCAATTTGAAGTTTTAAAAAATACAAACATACACATGTACACACAGTTGTGCACACTTACCTGTTTACTACTTGTCTTCCCCAGTAGACACAGGGCAGGGGTCACAAATCCTCAGAGCCTGCTACACTGGAGGCACACAGTAGATACTTACTATATGCATGATTGTTGATGGTGACACCACAGGGGAAGCGACCGCACCTGGTTATCTCTTCCAGTCTCACCGGCTCACTGGCCCCCCGAGATGGTCGGAGCCGCATGGGACATCATTCTGCTGCTTCACTCCTCAATGGAGATTCCAGAACTGTTAGGCCCCTTGGTTTACTTGCCCTTTCGAGACCTTTTTTTCACTCCTACCCCTTGCTGGACACAAGAACATGTGAGGCTTCCGCTATTTTCCGTGGCCTGCTTTGGAAAGACAGCGGATCTTCTGCACCCGGGCTCCCACACCCATCTTGGAGTTCTGCTCCTACCCCTCTGGCCCTGGCCTGGGGGACCTGATTTTCTTGGCTCCCCTTTATCTGGTCCAGAGGGTCTCTCTCTCAGCATGGGGCAGGAGGACACTCACCCCACTGGTCAGGATTTCCTCCAGATCTTTTCTCTCTGGCCTTGGTCCCTCCTTTGGAAAATCCAAAGCCAGGGATTCAACTCTCCTTTTCCGTAGTTTGTGATGTCATCTTTTGCCTGAGGTGGCCTATGCTACTGGTTCAATGGGAGAAATGTGAATAGATACAAGGAATTTGGGGGAAAACAACCCTTAACATCTCAAAGATATCATCTGCCCCATTTGTATGAAAGGTGGACCAGTTTTAAGGGAATGAAATCAGCTATAGTTATCCCAAATTTCCAGCCACTCTCCAGAGTTTGTCAGTTCACCACTCATTCTAGAAAGAAGCATACCACTTGGGAAAGAACAGAAAGTTTGCAAAATGAGTGAGTCTGCAGGGATACTTGTTTTTGCTGCTGATGAAAAGTTTCTCCCAAACAGCTGAAGTTCCAATGCTGGAAATTCCTGTCGTGTTATTTAGGAGTGGGTGACAGGCTGTGAGTCACTGAGCAGGGGACAAGCTGTCCTTGCCTTTGGCTGATGGGAGCTCGCGTTACGTGGCATGCAATGAGAGTTTCCTCTGCCAGTTCCCGACACCACTTCAGGTACAGAAGGTGGAAGGTCTCCGCGTCAGCTGGAGATGGTTATGTTCGCCATCACCTGCCTTCACTGCCCGACCTCCGTCTGCGAGGCTGTGGGCAAATGAGGTTTTATGCTGTCTGTAAAATCCCACGCTCTGTTGCACAACAGTTGCTGTTTGCAAGGAAAAATAAGTATCGTGTAGCTTTTTATAGCATTTGTTCCTTCACAGCAAGAAAATATTGCAGGTTGGTGTAAGGCGTTATGTTGCCACGCTTAATAACCACTGTGACTTTTACAGCCGCACGTCGGCTGGGGTGCAGTACATGACCGCAGAAGTGCGATGAAGGTGTCACGGAGCCCGGCCTGCTGCTTTGTCACCTTCAGAAGTTACAGAAATCATAATTGTGTTTGTCATTTCAGCCTCCTTTTACTATAGGAAACAGCCTGAGATGCAACTCTCAGTAGCATGAGGTCATTTTTAACCAGTTTCTTGGTGGAACAGTCTCTCTAGAACATGTTACCAAGCAGACATTTCTCTGGAATCCACTTCATTGTCATGTAGGGGCCTGACAGAGCGTTCAAGACCTAACAAAGCCAATGTGGGAGCCTCGTTAAGGAAAGGGAGCCAAAGAATCCAACTTTCTAAATCGCAGGTGTGGTTGTCACCTGTGAGCGACAGCATGCCGGGAGGTGCGAGTGCAGGGCCCAGTGTGGCTGGCCCTGGGTGGGACCGGCAGTGCGGCTGTGGCTCTCTTCTGGCGGGGAGCGGGGTGAGTTCAGGATGGGAACCCATGAAAAACACCTAAAATGAATAAAATGTCAAAGGACTCGAGTCTTAGGAAAATTGATAACCCCAAAATGGTCATCTTAGAGTAGAAGGCTGCCCTGATGAGATTTGGGAGAATGGCAACTTAGCACAGCTGTTATGGGTCAGGAAAAGAAGCCAGATGTTACCCAAACCAAAGTAGAATAAGAGCACTTTCTGAGTTTTCCTACTTAGGATCTCAGCTTCCACGACAGATTGTCTAACCTAGAATTTTTGTGAGGTTGTGCCCCCAAGAAGTGGAGCAGGTGGAAACCACACAGCCCCAGCGTTTCCAGCCCTGACCTGAGAGAAGAAACAAGTGTGAGTCCAGTTTTGCCCGAGGAAACGACTTTCCTTCCCCCGTGAGACAACCAGAGGGAGAGGCTCTGAGTTAAAGGAAGGTGTAGCCTATGGTCACGTTTTTAAGGGTGGTGGAGCCCTTCTGTCCAGCGTGATTGGGGCTGGGCCTTGGTAAATAGAGGAAACAGGTTTAAAATGAAATGACACAACAAAAACACTTCTATCAACTTAAAACATATCATTGTACATTTTCTCTGATGGTTTGATGTGCAGCCGACATCCAGTGTCCTCCAATTAGAGGTCCCTTCATTTTTCTGGCATTAACTACATCCATAGTAAGTTGATTATGTCTTCCAAATTTACCTTCTTTGAAGTGGAATGACAATTCAGCATCTCAGTTCAGAATACTAGATTTTTACATTTTTTTCAACCAATGTTTTTAGAACTGTCTTGTCAGTTATTTACTTAACAGCAATTTTTTTTTACAACTTGCCATTATTGAGTTTTTTGGTGAGCATTTGACTTAGTTTTCCTAGCAAAGACAACTGACACTCATTCTTCATCAGCTTGTTAGATTTAAGTCACACATTCACAGCGGTGGGTACAGCCAGCGTACACAGTTTGGGAGCAGTCGCAGTGACTTGGGTGAGCATCTCAACTGGAAGCCGGTCCAGGCGCCCACAGGTCACGGGCACCCCCGGGGAGAGGGCGACCGGCAGCATGTGTTAGAGAGGATGGCAGGACTGACTAACCTGGGAGGTGGTTAAAGGGCCTTTAATGACAAGAGTTTCTACTACAAGCACATTTTTATTAACATGCATAGGTGTGAGTATGAAACTCTTAAAGAATGTTATTACAAAATGTTTTCTAATTTGGGTCCTGCAGAATGCATCCTAATGAACAGCTAGGCTCACTTACAATCAGCAGGGTCTGTCTGCGCTAGTAATTGCTGCTCTAAAGTGCTTCTCCCCGGCAATCTGTTTACACCGTGGCACTGTAATTGGTTTGTTCATCAGACTATTGCTTTCCTTAGATGAGAGAAATAACGTTTTGGTCTACTCCTCATTGAGTTATCACAATTTTTAAATTAATAATTTAGAGATTTAATAAGCTCTTGTTCCATTTGTACATGCTTGAGATCCTAAATACCTCTGTCAATGTTTTTAGATTTTTTTTTTCTTCTCCAGACTACTGGTAGCAGTAAAGTATGATATGCCAAGGACAGTTTTAAAAAGAAATAAGTAGATATTGATTCTGTAGATACTAAGTTGATAGATTTGGAAAATTTTAGAGCATGTGCATTTATACACTCACAGAGGCAGAGAGAGTCAGGGAAAGAGACAGAGACAGAGAGACAGTGACAGATTTTATGTTTATATTACATTATATTCACACACACATGTATATAGAGAGAAAGACAGACAGAGACAGAGACACTGAGATAGGAAGAGAGAGAGAGAGAAAAGCAGACAGAAACAGAGGAAAACAGACAAGGAGAGAGGAGACACACTGAGAGACAGCAACAAACAGACACATCTAGAGAGACAGAGGGGAGCCGCCTCGGCTTTGTTGGCAAGATCAGCTCCACCCCTGCCCTGTTTGACCAGGACTGTGGAGCTGCAGGTGTGGAGGTCACTGCCCAGGACAGAGAGGCAGGCCTGGGGGCCACCAGGAGTCACAGTGTCACGGCAGGCGATAGCAGACATGGGTTGGGTCACAGCCTGGGCATTAATTAGGTGGCCTTGCACCACTGTTCTTATCTCTTGCATGTATTTTTTAGTTCTAAGTGTACTTTTTAATTTTTTTTTTGGATGCAGAAAGGTACTGAAGGAAATCTGTGTGGGAGAACTCAATCCAAACGAGACTGTGCAGGCCAGTTTGGAGGCCCAGCTCCTCTCCAAGCTGGACCACCCAACCATTGTCAAGTTCCATGCAAGCTTTGTGGAACAGGATAACTTCTGCATTATCACAGAGTACTGTGAGGTGAGGCTCTGCTTCTCTTTCTGAAACCTTAATAGAAATCTGTTTGATAGTAAAAAGCTGTCTGTACATAGATATCTCACAAGTTTCATGATCAAACCACAAACTCAATTGTAAGGACCTGGGATGCTGTGTCTAGCAGTGGAGCGTGATCATCTCTTGGTGATTGCCAAAACTTGTTTCTGATGAAGGGCTTCTCTTTTTTGGAAAATTCAGAACGAGTACATTTGAAGGAGACACTGCTGCAGAAGAATGCTCCAACAAGTGTGTGTGTGTCGGTGGGTGCATCCTCCAAGCCGCCTACCCTGGTCCAGTGATGAGATGGACATTTAAGTGCCATAGCAGAGGCCTGGACGGAGCAGAGCTGCGCCTCCTGAGTCCTGGGTCCTAGCTCTATGTTCTTTTCTCCTAGTGGAAACTGGCAGATGGAAATAAGGCTCATTTTCCCCAAGCAAATCCTTCACACTCAGTGAGTTGTGATTTATGGCTTCAGGTACTTGCAGTTTTCCATGGAGTATGAAGCTGCTTAGACAGGAGCTAGCGACGGCAGCTGACAGGCGCGGCTGTCACATGGGTCTGTGCGTTCAC